AATTCACCTATGCTGAGTAATTGTCGTGTCACTTTTCTAGCCCTTTCCAGAAGTTGTTTGCGAGCAGCACCCAGTTCAAGCCTATTCCATGTTTGCTGAGGATGTTCAAAATATCGCCTCGTTGAGGCCACAGGATTCGCAGCAGACATGTCAGCAGCAACCTGTTGTTGCCGCTGCACCATTCGCTTCAGTAACACCTATCCAACAGCCTCAGTCAGAACTTCAGGTTCTGCCTGATTTGAATGCCCTTGACATCGAGTCCCAATTGATTGAGTTTGAGACGACCGGAGGCGGTGGTAGTAGTTCTAGTGTTGGCCTCGCCTCTGATGGACCTTTACCATCACACCATCCCACGACACAAACGGCGACGATGCCTAAAACGAAACACGTTCTATCTCAAGCACTTTTGGCAGCCTCTTATTCACTTTTAGTCGAGGGACAGTCTATGGTTTTAGTGTATCCACTTCGTGGAAGTATGTTTCATCAAAAGCGACTTCCGTTGTGACTCCAACAACAACAGGTTACTTACTTTGAGAGTATTGTGGACCCTGGCGTCCCTCCTCCACCACAACAACCACTTTATCCCAGATCGATACTACACATGGCCTGGCGACAATTGGTTCCTCAAATATTATCTTAATACCAGTCGCAGACAATCTACATGGCGGCTAATCAGCAGCAGCAGCAGCAACGGCAGCATCAAAAAATGCAGCAAAGGTTCCAAGCTGCTGTGTGTAGGGGTTTTTCGACACGCATCATGTCGTCGGCTGGAGCAGGAGCAATGTCACCGAAGTCACGGCAGTCACCATTGCCGGTGGTGTATGATCAAACACCAATGGCTTCTGACAGTGGAATGTTGCCGAGTCAGCAGCTAACGACGATGCTTCGGCAGGGTAAGCTGTTTCCAATTATGAGTGTATCTCGTGGAGCGGTTCGCTTCACTGCGAACAAGCTATTTTATTGTTTATTAGTTGCATCGGATGCTCGGTGTGTGAAAGGCAAGTGCTTTCTTATGTGGTATCGTTGTGTGCCATTTCCTCCTTGGCGAATTGAGCAAGCTAATTAAAGGTTTGTATGCATATTCAGCTCGGTCACTGCAATAATTCGTGGTTTGACTCAAGGTTGGCTGCTGCAATTTCGGAACTGCCTCAAACCGTTTCTATTGGCTTTGACGTATCTCCAAGCGGTGGCAAACCAGCTAACATGTCTACTCTTGTAGACGTGAGTCTCCGACGATCTGGTGACATTTAGTTGGCTCTACAATCTATGGCTTCCGACGGTCTGACCTCTCCCAGGCACCTTCAGGGTGCTACATCTTCTAGTCACTGCAAGTCAAGGGCCAATTTCGCCTTCAGATGCAGCCTTA